ATGTGAAAGGTGGTGTGCGGTCCGTACAGGCGTGCGCTGCTGCTAGCAGCGCTAGTGGGAGCGAGGGCAGCAACAGTAGGGTGTAAATGGGTAAAAGCGTTACGAGGCGCCGGGGCAGAGGGAGTGGTAAAGATGGGGGTAGGACCGGGGGAGAGGCAGGAGGACGTGCTTCCTTTGCTCAAGAAATGCGCTGTAGAGATGGACCTCTCGCACCATGTATGGGAGCTCTAACTTGGTGTGATGTGATGATGTGTGTATTTGGTGTGTATTGGAGCTCTAACATAACATGGTTTTAAAACCATGTGTGATGATGCTGAGTATTCGGTGTAACTTGGTCCACCCTAGGTTCAGTTCCGATGCCAGCGTATTTTGTGCAGTCTTATCATGGACAAACTTGGTGGAAGTGTGAGCAGTGCAGTGCAGTGCAGTGGGGTGCAGTGCAGTGCAGTGGGTGCCAGTGCAGCCCAGTGCTGAAGCGCCAGTAGTGGTATCTTGTTCGGGCCCAACAGCACCAAGCCTAACGCTGCACCCCTATGGCATCCACATCAGAACCGATCTAATTGGCCGATAAATTATACGAATGCATCAGTTAGCCATCTAGATGGGAACGGCCTTTGCCAGTCATTTTCCCGTTCATTCTAATACCCAAACCCTTGTCCTGCTAAACCATCACCAGACCCTACACGTTCCACAGCTAGCCCCTCGTTTGATCCTGACCGTTGGATCGCTAAGCCAAATCCAGCAGTGGCAGCAACAGGAGATCCTAACCTACCAGCTCCCACCCCCCCAGCACCCCAATTATGACTCCCATGATTCCCATGACTCCCATGGCTCCCACTTCCTGCTCCCTCAGGAGCAAACAAACTGGATGAGAGGATTCTTCGCGGGGCAGATGAGATGGACGGCTGAGATGCCTTCACAGAGAGATCTAACGGCCGTCGTGGCAACGTTGGCAGAGCAGCAGATCCAGGAGAGGGGCAGAGGGAGGGCGAAGAGGGGAGGTGTTGAGAGGCGAGAACCAATGCAGCAGCACTCCCTGCACTACTGCAAATCCTGCAGGTAAACCTTCCCCAGATACACCTGCAGATAGCCCCTGTGCGGATGAGCTCGGGAGCTCTGCAATGGGAGGGAGGGTAGACGAGGAGGAGGTAGGGGAGGAGGGCATACCCATGTATGCTTGCTGCTGGTAGAGCAGTGCCTGCTGCTGCTGCTGCTGCTGCTGATGTGAGTGGGGAAGCAGCTGTTTTGGCATGGCCCCTGGCGGAGTGGGGGAGAGAGAGCGAGGTGTGTCTGCAATGACCGGCAGGAAGCTGAGGGCTCTTCTTGCTGATGATCCACCACCGGCGTTATGAGATGACTCAACCTGAGTACCAGAAGCAATTCCAGCACCAGTCTCCCCAGCAACTGCAGCAGCAGCTGCAGCCGCCACAAGGGCACTGTTACGGTTACCAGGCGACGGTGAGCGGGCGGATAGCCCTCCACCCGAAAAGGAAGGGGAGGGGGAAGAGGGGGGAGACCGGCTGTTCTAGGGGAGCCGGATTGGGACGAGGGGGAGTGGGCGCGCGGAGGGGTGTTGGAGCGAGGAGGCGTGTTGTAGCGAGGGGGAGTGTTGGAGCGAGGAGGAGGGTTGGAATCCGCAAATCCGTATGGAGGGAGAAGAATCGAAGGGGGTCTAATGCTGCAGCCCTAGAGGCTGCTGTCACAGCAGCCATACTATTCACAGCATAAGCAGCAGCATTGCCAGATGGCCGTCCCGCGGCAGAACTAGCAGAGCCACCCGTAGAAGAGCCACCAGTGGCACTGACGCCAGCAGCAGCGCCAGCAGCCCTGCTCTCAGTGGAAGCCAGAGCCTTGTGCAGTTGCAGCGACCGCTTGAGCGACGCAAAGTCAGGCGCGTGCACCACCGTGGCCTTCACGTTATACTTGTCCATTTTGATCATCGGCTGGGCCCCTCTCCCTCCTCCTCCTGCGCCCCCTCCCCCATTCCCACCGCCCAAGCCTGCTGCCATCAACTCAAATCTCCGCCTGTTTTCTGCCAAGCGGGCCTCCTTTGCGCTCGCTGCCTCTCTCACTCTCTCCTCCCTCACCCTCTCCTCCTCTGCTGCTCTCTCCGCGGCACCTCTCTTTTCCTCTGCAGCCCTTTCCTTCTCTGCTGCTCGCTCCTGTGTAGACTCGTCTCTCAGCCGAGGCCGTTCCTTCTCCCATCCGGGTGTTTCCTCCTCCCTATGTCTTGCTTCCCTTCCCCTCTCCGCTCTGTCTGTCCCCTCACTGTCAGCCCCCTCGTTCCCCTTCCCCTCCTCTCCTTCGACCTCAGTTTTCTTCTCGAAATAGCAAGCTACTTCTGTAGCTGTACCACTGATTCCTAGACCAACTGCAACGGGGCTAGCTACAGCTGGAGCAGCGACGCCGGCTGTAGCAACAGGGTATGTAGCAGCAGGGGCTGTAGCACCAGGGGTTGTAGCAACTGGTTTGTAGGCAACAGAGGAGACGCTAACTGCAGCCACGGGGGTGAGATGACTGGATGTGAAGTCCTAGTGGAGGAGGGAGGTGATGGTACAACAGCAGCTGCAGCGGCATCTTTCCCTGTTGCTGTTGCTGCTGCTGCTGCTGCTGCTGCTGCTGCTGCTGCTGCTGCTGCTGAGGCCAGCCCCATAGCTGGTGAGGCAGCAGGAGCAAGCTCGGTCGCAGAGGGAGTAGCAACAACACTTGGTGCAGCATGAGTTGAGCCCGAAGCACCGCCTTCCGAGCCTCTCATAGGGCGCTGCAGCTGCTGCGGATGCGCTCTCTCTATGCCCTTTTCCACCGTTTTCTGAGCTTCCTTCTGCTGCTCACCCGGCTCCAAATGTGCCGTTTGCTGCAGCTGCCACAGCTGCTGCCACAGCTGCCGTTCCTGCCCCTTCTGAGGCTGCTGCTGCCCTTTCTGAGGCTGCTGCTGCTCCTTCTGTGGCTGCTTCTGCTGCAGGTGCTCCTTCTCCTTCTCTTGTTGCTGTGCCTGTATGCCCACAGCAACCAGTTCCACATTCCCACCACCATCACCCGTCTTAGAGAAACCTTCAGCATGTGCCGTAAAGCTGCTGCTCCTAGGGCTGTTTCTGCCGCTGCTGCTGCTGCTATCCTCTCCGTCTTTGCTTCCTTCGACTGACGAGTGAAAGAGGGGGTTCATGAAGGTGGTTCTCGTGGCTAAGGAAAATGCAGCCGCCTCTGCTCCCCCCCCTCCTAATCCTCCTCCTGCTCCGCCTGTTCCCACTGCGTCCCCTCCTCCCACCCCTCCTGTTCCTTCTCCTCCTCTTGTTTCACCCGCTCCTGCTGCCCCTGTAACACTCAGTATTGGCCCAACCGCAGCCTCAGCAGGATTCCTGGTACTGGCGACAAGAGTGGCGATTGCAGCGCTGCCAGGGGGAGCAGGGGTCAGTATGCTGTTCTGGTAGAAACGCGTTGCTTTGGCAGGGGATCCACGAGCAGCCGCAGCAGCAGCCGCAGCAGCAGCAGCAGCCGCTGTGGCAGAAGCAGAGCCAGCAGAGTCAGAGGCAGTTAGGCTGACAGAGGTGACAGCAGCAGCAGCCGCTGCAGCGGCGGCAGCAGCAGTGGGAGTAGCCGACCTCAGCAGTTGCTTCGTGTGCTTTGATGCTGCACTACCGGCAGCAGCAGGATGTTTTGACACCCCACCAGCATTATTACCTGGATACTGAAGAATGGAGTAGGGCGTCTTGCCTGCTCCCACTGCGTCTGCTGCAGCAAGTGAACCACCAACGACTCCTGCCACTCCAGCACCTATGGCTGCCCCTGCTACTCCCGCCGCTGCTCCTACTGCTGCACTTGGCACGCTACTCACAGCGCTAGTAGCAGCACCGGAACTGCCAGCAGCAGCAGCAGCAGCGTCACCGTCAACATCAGCCACCGCAGCAGCAGCAGCTGACAGCAGCCCCCCTGCCCCTCCTCTTGCTGGTCCCACCCCACCAGCACCCGCACCTGCACCACCGCTACCACCACCACCAACACCACCACTACCACCAGTACGGCCAGCAGCACCACCAGCAGCACCACCAGCAGCACCACCAGCAGCACCACCAGCAGTACCAGGAGGCAAGCGTCCATTGAACGACATCCTAGAGGTGGCTCTAGCACAGGCGGCCGCTACTGCTTCCGCCAGCTCCTCCTGCTGCCTCTGCTGCCGCCGCCTCTGCCTCTCCCCGCCCTTCCCCAGCCCGCCCACCCCGCTGCTGCTGCTCGTGGTGCTGTCTGTGCGCTCCACAGGCAACAGGTGCGAGTGGTGGTGGTGAGATGCGTGCGAGGGATGCGAGTGGTGAGAGTGAGAGTGAGACTCTCTTTTCCCGGCTCTTCCTGCAGTTGCGGTTGCTCCTGCTCCTGATCCTGCTGTTCTTCCATGTCCAGGTAATTCTCCTGCACCCATGGGAAGGGACCCTGCATGGCCTGCCAGCATGCGCCTCTCCCAATCCCTCAGCTTACTCCCCTCCTCTCCCTCCCCCCCCCCTCCCAACCCTCCCAACCCTCCCAACCCTCCTACCTCCACTCCTCCCCTCTCCAAATCCCTCCCCACATCCCCATCCTTATCCGCATCCCCGTCCTCCCCTTCCCCCCCTTCCAGCATCAGATCTGAAATCTCATCCTCCCACTCCCCTCCACTCCCCTCACTCCCCTCCTCCTCCTCACTCCCCTCCTCCCCACTCTCCACACTCCCCTTCTCACTCGCCTCCCCCTCTCTCTCCGGCCTAACCCTACTCTGAGTCAGCCTATTCGCCCACAGCAGCCACTCCAGGGTAAGGCAGCAGGACGCCAGCAGCGCCAGCCACACGCCAGCAGTAATAGAGAAGCCCGAGGAGGCTTGTATGAGCTGAAGGCCGAGGAAGAGGAGGATGAGGGAGAGGAGGAGCGAGGAGCACCCGCACACCTTGTGGAATCGCCGCCAGTGGTCCCTCAGGTGGTGGGACTCGGGGGGACGAACCATCACTGCTGAAATCTGGGAGATAGGGGAGAGAGGGAAGGGGGGGAGAGGCGGGGGGGGAGGGAAAAGAGGGGGGAATGGGGGTGAGGCTCTCTTCTCAACAGCAACCGCAAACCTTGTGGAATCGCCGCCAGTGGTCCCTCAGGAGGTGGCACTCGGGGGACGGACCATGACTGCTGAAACCTGGGGGATGGGGGTGAGGTTGGGGATGGAGGGGGGGGGTGGGGGGGTGTGTAGAGGGGAGGAGAGGAGGGGAGGATAGGAAGGGGGAGGGATTGTGAAGAAGAAGGGGGTATGGGGGTGAGAGTTTGGAAGGGCCTAAAGGAGCACTTAAACATACCCAGAAGACAACTGTTTTCACCTTTCAGTCGAAACCGCCTCCCTCACCTGCAGCACCAGGAGAATCCAGAGCAGCGCCAGCAGGACGCAGTACCCCACCGACTTGTTTCCGAGTGGCCTTTGAAGGCACTACAACTTCTCTCACCTGCAGCACCAGGAGAACCGAGAGCAGCGCCAGCAGCACGCAGTACCCCACCAACTTGTGCAGTGGCTCCAGCGACAGGGCCAGCGTGAACGCCGAGAGCGTGAGAAAGTACCCCTCAGCTGCACCCCCTGGTGATCAAAACACACAAAAATCCACCTTCCTCACCTGTAACACGAGGAGAACAGAGAGCAGCGCGAGCAGCACGCAGTACCCCACCGACTTGTGCAGCGACTCCAGCGACAGGGCCAGCGTGAACGCCGAGAGCGTCAGAAAGTACCCGCCCAGCTGAACCCCCTGGTGCAGCGGGAACCAGTACCGGCTATGCTTGCGCACATACCGCCCCGACACCGCCCCCACCGGCAGCAGAAACGCCCACGCCGCCACACTCAGGGCCGAATACACCACTCCTGCTGTTGTCACCTGCGCCGCGTTCGGATCCACGTCACTCTCATTGCCAAAGTCTATCGGCGCGCTTGCCATAGCTACAACCCCATCAGGGGAGAGGGAGTCGTTCGAAGGGAAGAACTGGGCGCCCTTGGTCCAGAGGAGCACGGCACCGGATCGCTGCCTGTGGGGGAGTTTGATGGTGAAGAGCAGCGTGAGGGAGCCCGCTTGGAGCTCCGCTTTGGATGAGATGAGAGAGAGATTGCCCCCTCGCACCATGGCCGTTTGCTCCTGTGGTGCCAGACTGGTACTGTTGCTGCTGCTGCCGGTGCTGGTGGTGCTGGTGGTGCTGGTGCCTGTGGTTGTTGCGCCAGTGAGAGTGGTGTTGCTGCTGTCGCCTGCCGCTTTCTTCACGATCTCAAACTCCTCCACTCTCATTCCCCCGCTTCCGTCCTCCGCCCTCACTGCAACCAGCATCGAGGCACCCACTAACGAATCCGGCTTCACATACCCCCCTTCCACGCTCCCACTCCCATTCCCCCCGGCCGGCGCCGGGGGAGGGGTAAACAGCGCCTCTAGCAGCGGGGTGGGTGGGGGCAGCAGCAGCCCTACAGCAGCGTAACCTTGTGGGGACACAGACTGGGAGATAAACGCACCAGATAGCTCTTCTTTCCCAAGCGTCCACATGAAAAAGAAACCTCCTGGAAGGGCCTCACACGAGGCAAACTTCCTATTTTCCCCCTCAAACGTGGTGCTGCACTGAGATAAGCCAGAAATCACCGCCCCGTCGTCCCACATGGATGGCTCGCCGGGCGGCGAGGGCACCAAACCGGGCGGCAGAGCCGGGTAGCTCAGCGCCGGCGTGTTCCAAAGCGGCTCACAGGAATTAGTCGCTTTAGCAGCGTTTAACGTGATGTTAATCGATCCAGAAAAGAACGCCGAGGAGGAGGCATGTGGGAGTAGCTGGGGCAGCGAGGGGGTGGAGGAAGGGTGGAGGGGTCCTGTAGCGAAAATGAACAGCAGGGGGCGGGAAAGATCCGTATTGTTGGGGACTGCAGAGGGGAGGCTTATATCGAATCGGCGGTCAAAGAGGGGGTCGGTGGAGAGGGCGAGGGAGCGGCGGAAGCGGATGAAGGAGACGTCCGCCTGGCGCGAGGCGAGGGTGAGATTGACGTTGTTGAGGGCGGGGGAGGAGCCGAGAAGAGCGTCCTGGTGAGGGGAATGGGAATTGTAAGGAAGCACAGGAAGGGAGAGGGGGACGGGGGGGACACTGTTGGTTGAGGTTGACGGTAAGAGACGTCTGTCTGGCACGAGGCGAGAGTGAGGTTGACGTTGTTGAGGGCGGGGGGAGGGGCCGAGAAGAGCGTCCAGGTGAGGGAGTGACACTTGGCAGTGCAGGTGGATAAAGGAGACGTTGGATTGTCACGAGGCCAGCGTGAAATGACCGTGCGTTCAGGGCTGCGAAAGATGAAGAGGAGGGTAGAGAGACGGTTCGGTGCAGAGCGGTATCAGAAAGGCTTACCGGACAGACCCCCACGTATCCTCCTGCGATCTGCTCACACGCCTCCAACGCCGTGACGTAGAAATCCGTTGCAAACGCATCTACCACCCCACTGCTACTGCTACTGCTACCAATACTGCTACTGCCACCACTGCTGCTGCTGCTCCCGCTTCCGCTGCTGCTGCCGTTGCTGGTGCTAGAGGTGATGATTCCTGCAGCGGTGATGTCGCTGCTGTGCATGTCAGCGTGCGACTGGTTACCAGACAGGCCCAACGCCATCCAGCTGTTGTCGGGCACCTTGCCCTCGAGCCCGAACTCCACAGCCATGCCGTTGATGGGGTCGCCCACCATGCGCCAGTAGCTAGGGAGGGATTGGGGGAACGCAGGACAAGGAAAGGCAATGATGAGGCACCTGGCCCAGTAGCTTGCCCTCCAGGCCGAACTCCACTACCATGCGCCAGTAGCTGCGGAGGGGAGGAGGGGTGGGGAGGGCAGGTTGCACGGGGCATCAGGGAGAGAAATCAACGAAAACGAAAGCCCAGCCCAGCACCATCCAGCTGTTTTCCGGCCCCACTTCACAGTGACGCAGTTCACGAACCCCAACGCGGGGCGACGCACGCTGACTCTCGCACCCACACCTACACGCGGACTCTCTGCCCGTACGTATCGACCCCCTGCCGACCTACATGTTGAGTCGGCCCTTCTTCGCAGTGACGCAGTTCACGAACCCCAGCGCCGGCGACGCCACAGGCGGAGGGGGCGGCGGAATGGGCGGGGGCGGGGGCGGCATAACCGGGGGCGGTGGCGCCAGCAACTGGTTCTTCTTGGCGTACTGAAACACCTGCTTTCGTACCCCCTCAGACGCTTCCGTCGCACTGCCAGGCAACACACCCACCCCACCACCACCACCACCACCACTGCTGCTGGTACCTCTCACTCCGCCACGGGTAAGCCTCCTCGGCAGCTGCACCTGAGCCAGGACTTTCTCTAAGTCCCCAGCGGGAGTGGCAGAGACGAGGTAGAGCACGTGTATGTTGTCCCAGGTTCGGCCCTGGGAGCCGATGTAGACGGCGAGGAGGGGAGAGGTGGCGGCGGGAGTGAGGGAGGAGAGGGCGGGGTCGAGAGGGGAGGCGTAGGAGAACGGGTCTTCCCCTGCTATCCCCCCCCAGAGAGAGAGGGAGGGAGTGCTGTTGGCCGATTTCAATCTGGAGGACAAGGGGGAGATGGGGGAGGGACGGAGGTGGAAGAGTGCGTATGCGGGGAGAGCTTGCGAAGAGAGTTTTGCAGGGAGATGACGTGGGAGCGGAACGGGAAGGGAGGGATGCGAGAGATGATAAGATGCAGGCTACTCACGTGAGCGAGGAGAGAGCGAGATAGCAGTCGTCATACACCGTCACGAAACCCGACAGCTGAACGCGAGGCTGCAGAGGGGTGAACGCTCCTTTGAAACCCACGACGGAATAGTTCCCTGACACCCCGCACGGCGCGTATTTTTCACCCGAAAATTGAATGGCCTCTGCGCTCGGTATACTCGAGGCGTCTGGAAACAGCACAGCGATAAGGAGCACCAGCAGGGCCGCCAGTACTAGTCTAGGACTAAGAATCGCGTGCACACGTGGCCGCTGTTGGTGCGGTGTAATTGACGTCGGCACATGTTTCGTCCGCCGCGTCGGCCAAATTAACCTTCCTTCTGTACGTCTCTGTTTTTTGTTCAGGCATGTACAGTCCCCTGCCGCTGTCATTGCCGCTGTCGCTGCTGCTACTGATGTTCTGGCTCGTGAAACTGCTGCTGCTGCGACTTGTGTCGCAGCAGCATCAGCTATGGACAAACCCATTCCGCTATTGCGCGTCGTAGTCTACTGCGACACGCATGTTCGGTGCGCTGCTCATAATTTCACTGCTAAATGCACGCTGTCAGATCTAGTAGCCTGAGGCTATCGGTGGCGACGGAGGAGAAGAACTCGAAAACTATAAAGACGAGGGTGAGACTAGCTTTGATAAATAGTCGGCGCGGTGAAGATAGCTATCCAATATCATAATGCTCGTAAAACGGAAGGAAAGGCATCAAACGACCTGAATCAGTCCTACTACACGAGCGTATCAGCACGCGCGACGAAGACTACGAGGCGGTCGATGCGAAGAAAAGCCGCCACAAAACCAGGCACGTACGGCGCAATTCGCTAGGCTAACGAGCCTTATGCGCTACCACATGCATCAGTTTCATGAGAAAAGGGGGACAGAAAGAGGAGAGATTGGACAGCAGGAGGTGGAGGGAAAAGGCCTGAGGGCCATGAGCAGACCAAGGGAGTTCCTCAATACTCTTCGGTCTTCGGTCTGTTCAGGGAAGGTGAAGGAACTCGGATGGGTGAGGAGAGGATGACCAGAGCCGACTATGGAAGAAAGACCAGAGAGGTGTGGCGTGGGGGTGGGGAAGCGCGTACGTTTTTGGTCAAAACCCTAACCAACCGTTTTAGATTCGTTATTGATCCTTTTGATCCGTGCGGCACCTCACCCAACCGCAATCAAACGTAAGCGCTGGGGGAAGCTCGAGGATGTGACCGTTGGAGGGGTTCCCACAGACAGCCAAAATTGGCGGGAATTGGTGGTGTCAGAAAGGGAGCCAGTTTCCGTAAAATGGTGACCATGGTTAATGCTTTGCGCGAAAGTAGCCCGAAAACAAGAAACGATTTGTGTTTCTGCCATTCGCTGGTGATTTTGCGAGCCGGTGAAGATTTTTGCAGTGATGTTTTTGCGACTTACGGTGACTGTATGGGGTTTGATGGCTGCGACCGAAAAGGGCGATAACGAAAGGTTGCGTGGAACAGAACACGAGTCGCCTGAAATGGAGGGATGGCGCGCGTCGTGGGTGGCCGACTGTGAGACGCCGATGTCCTGCCACCACCGGTTAGTAGACGGCTGTCAGGGAACCTTGGAAAGAAATTGCTCGCCTAGTTTTCAAGCCACCGACCCATAACGAAATTTGACTGGAACAATGATTGTACACTCCGCAGATATGAACGTTCTCCAACATTCGCAAAATTCCTAACGCGTACAGAGCCTTCTTTTTGCTCTTCACGATTACTTGTAGCAGGGATTCCAGCAACTTACTTTGAGATAGCACTAGTTATCACACTCCGTAATAGTCTCTTCGCCTCGCGCTCGTATTTCAGATACTCGTGACAGGCAAAGCGAAGCCCGTTGACTTCTCGTCTGTAGCCAGCTCAGCCGTTGGACCATAATTCTTGGCAGTCGCGGCGTTTTCTGATAGATTCACCACCCTGGTCATGACATGCGAAGTGTTTGAGCTGAAAGAGCTGGTGGGTCATGGCCTAATGTTGTTGTATTTAGCGGAAACCTAAGTCTTCTCTTCAGTACGTGAGTCTACACTCGCGACTCCCCTAATTCACGGAGTCAAAAGCATGGGAGCGTTTTCGAGTGGGTTAAGGTTGTCATGAGTGTGTTTCCCTGTCGCTTGTGAACGATTACTGCACGATCACTTGTCCATATAATCATGATTTGTTGCTCAGGTCGTTCCGACTGTTCATCCATCTCCCTGTGATGTGCTGGGATGTTTCTGCTGCCTTGTGCTGGGATAATTTGCTGGCTGGGCCTTGTGATGGCTCGACGTTGCATGTGTTTACTCCATTGACGTTGTTCCTTGGCAGTTGCTCGAGCACTACCAAATTCGTGAAGTCTTACGATGTAAGTGGCGTGGCGTTTCCCTTTCCTCTCTTCCCTCATCCCATTGGTTCTCCTGATCCTCCTTTTCCCACTCCTCTCTCCTCGTTACTTCCCGTACTTCTCGTCTCCCTGCTTAGATCCTCCCCCTTCTCCCCCTCCCCCCCCCCACCCCCACAACTGAATTTCTGTTCAATTTCTGACTTCCAGTTTCCGATTGCATGGCTAGTGGTACTGTTACCAAATCCAGTTACTTTTATTTGTGTACTCTACAGTCACGCTGTTCGCCTTTCTGTCAACTCATCTTCGCTCTCCCTGTCCTCCTCCCTCCTTGATCTTGCCCCTCCCTCTCTCCTCCCACCAGTTCTTCTCCACACCATCATGTTCCATCGAGCATTGGGTTTCTTCCCTCGCTGTTCTTGAGGCGCCTCAAAAATCGAGCATATTTTTGAGTCTATTTTTGAGGCGCCTCAAAAATAGACTCAAAAATCGAGCATTGGGTTTCTTCCCTCGCTGTTCTTACTTCCTCCTCCCGTGCTCCACCCCCCCTCCTCCCTCCCTCATTCCTCACCTCAGGTCTCCTCCACACCTCAAAGCTCTTCTCCCTTCCTCATCTCGCCCTCCATATTCTCTTGCCTCCATGCCCTCGTTTCTCCTTATCTCCTCCCACCAGGTCTCCTCCACACCATCATGTTCCATCGAGCATTGGGACTCGTGCGACCCAAGAGCATCGACTCGGAGCTCTTCGACATCACCTATGTGAGCTATCTGACTGAGCCGTTTCATATTTCTATGCCATATGTTGTAGCTCCTTAACGCTGCTGTTTCTCCCTTCCATCTGTTCTTTTCTCCCCCCCCTCTCCTCTTCCCCCCCCTCCTCTCAGGTGCAATGCGGGGATGCAGAGGTGGAGAGACAAATAGAGGAAAAGATTGGCCAGTTCAGCCTGTGGCTTGAGAAGAACCCCACCAAGAAAGGACAGGTGGGGGAGTTTGTGCGATCACTGAGTGGACCCCGCCTCGAAGCGCAAATTTCTCTGCGTTCCCTCCATTCTCTCTCATGCCTGCATGATGGAGGCATGGAGCACCCAGTTCATGCCTCTTTCATGCCTGCATCACCCAGTTCTTCTCTCCATGTGGAATTATCTCCCATAGAAATCCGAGTGAACTGAGACGAATTTTGAGGCGCCTAATAAATTATCTTTCATGTCTGCATCACCCTGTTCTTCTCCCCCTTTGGTCCTTCCGTCCGTCCTTCTATCTCTCCCCTCCCACCCTTACCAGCTCTGCCTTTCCTTCTTTGAAAAGCGACGCCCCATCACAGGCACCGCCACAACATCTTCTTCTGGTAGCAGCAACACCGCTCGCACAAAGTCCGAAGGCAGCAGCCAAGCCAACGGTAGCAGCAGCAGCGGCGGCGGCGGCGGCGGCGGCGGCAGCGGCAGTGGCAGCACAAGGAAGGACTCAGCAGCATCATGGTTGAGCGCTAGTGCCGCCCGGTTGACCCTAGGATCGGATAAAATCATATGGGAGCAGTGGATCATCCCTGTCTCACTCCTCACCTCCCCCTCAGGCAGCACTCCCGGCCAGCCACCATTCTCCTCCTCTTCCTCCTCCTCCTCCCCCTCCTCCTCTCCTGCTCACACCAGTGCTGCCCATACCGCTGTTGCCACCACCGCTGCCACCAGTGGGGCATCGTCGTCCCCATCGCCCTCATTCTCCCCCTCTGCTTCGGCCGAGGCGTGGCAGCGGCAGCAGCGCAGCGCACAGCTGGAGGCGGATGTCAGGGAGGCGCTGCTCTCGATCCTCACCATGGCCAATGAGAAGAGAGACCATCTGCCGCCTGTTCTTACATCCTCCCTCGTCTCATTCCCCTTCGAAATCTCTGTTCCAAGGTGTGTCCCATTCTCTCGCTCTGTTTCTCTTGCTGCTGGTACCAACTCTGCCACTGCAAGACGTATTACTGGGCTCTTGGGTGCGTGGCAGCAGCAGCAGCAGCGGCAGCTGTAACAGAGCAGTGGCAGCGGCAGCAGCGCAGCGCACAGCTGGAGGCGGATGTGAGGGAGGCATTACTGTCGATCCTCGCCATGGCCAATGAGAAGAGGGACCATTTGCCTCCTGTCCTCACGTCCTCCCTTGTGTCTTTCCCCTTCGAAATATCTGTCCCAAGGTGTGTAGGACCAGAAGTTGTCTCTTTCCGGTCCCCCTCCCCCCCCCCCCACCCTCTCCCCCTCCCCCTTTCTTTTATCCCAAACATTTGCGTCTTTCGTCCTGCTTGCTATCTGCACCTGGTCGCGGAGGGATTGTCGCTTGATTCTCACTGCTTTTTTTATTTCTTCCCTTCTGCTGCCGCTACCATACCATATTCCTTGGGATGTATCATGTATGCCATTGTTCATCTGTGCAGCATGTCAGACTCGTTCGGAATGGACGTTCTGAAGAGGATGTTGCAAACAGCTCCACATCATGTGCTGGGATGATTGGTGGGTTGGTGTACATTTTTAAACTTTTGATGTGGCCATTTTGGAACTCCTAGACCAAGCATTCTTGTACATAGAAAATCATTATGTGGTCTTGTACATAGCGGGGTAATGCTCTTTGTGTGCTCTCTCTACACGAAATCCTTTGGCATGCGCTTAGTTTGTTGATATTCTTTCGTATTGCGCAGTGGGAATCCAGAATGTAGGCATTCTTGCTGAAGGCAGCTACAGCGCTCCACCAATACCGTGCATTTAGCGAGTACGAACCGTGGTTCCAGTTTCCCTGCTCAGGCGAAAGGCCTGCAGCTGACGACCATTTCTGAGGGTCACGTTCTGCCGACCGACCTTCGCACTGTCACCTTGAAGCTGCTGTTCACACATCCTATACCTATACCCCTCTTGTCGCTACCAGGAGCACTGTCACTGTTACTTAGGGAGACTTCCCCCCCAACATCCTAGACTTTGACGTCGACTAAAAGGAGGTCATTTCCTCCGAACATGGTAGCGCGTCGCGTGCTCACTCTTCTCTCGGCTCTCGACGAGGCCTCGCTGACGTCGCTGCTGCAGCAGCATGGGGTGAAGGAGTCGCACGGCCGGACCATAATTAGGTCAGCTGGGAGCAATGAGTGGGGTTATTAGTCTTATGTTTACAATTTCAGAAGACGCCATTGTTAGCAGCAACCTGGGCTGTAGGAGTCGCATAGCTGGACCAGCCGGACCATAATTAGGTCAGCTGGGAATGGTAATTAGGTCAGGTGGGAATCTGTAAGCCGATCCATTCGACCGACGGACTGATACGTCTTGTAAGAGGTTTTGAGAATTGCTTTTGAGTCGACTCAAAAACCGACGGACTGATACGTCTTGTAAGAGGTTTTGAGAATTATCAGAAATCTCAGACGGGCTGAAACTTCCTCTTCCTCATTTTCTCAGTATTTAGTAATTTTCCCGTTCCCATTTTCGTATGTAATGAGTCGATTTTTGAGTCGACTAAAAAATCGACTCATTTTTCCCGTTCCCATTTTCGTACCCGGTCATGTCATCAGAAGTACACGTGGCCTGGGCTTTTGGACTGACATTTCGTAGCCAACCCAGCCTTGATACTCGTTTTTCAGTAACTCGTTTGCAACCTCTGTCTCCTCCCGTTATTTTCTTACGCAGCCATGTCATCAGGACACGTGGCCTGGGTTCATTCACTGACATTCCGAAGCTACCCCAGCCTCTATACTCGCTACTGGAAGATTCGTTTGCAGCTTGCTCGTCAGAAGTCGTGGACGAGCAAACATCACAGGATGGCGATACCACTAAACTCTTGATAAGGCTACAGGACGGGTTAACTGTTGAAGCGGTGATTATGCGTTACGATGCGTCAGAGGGACGTTACAACGGCTACCAGCGGCCAGGGGGAGAGAGAGCCACGCTGTGCGTGTCTTCTCAGGTATGCACATTTTCGCCCAAATCTACTCTAATTCCATCAGGCGTGTGCACTACGATGAATCAGGAGATGTTACACTGTTTCCCGGCTGCGAAGAGTGGTAGAGACTGCTTTTGAGGCGGCTCAAAAATAGACTCCTTGTGCACTACGATGTATCAGGAGATGTTACACTGTTTCCCGGCTGCGAAGAGTGGTAGAGATTGCTTTTGAGGCGGCTCAAAAATAGACTCCTTGTGCACTACGATGTATCAGGAGATGTTACACTGTTTCCCGGCTGCAAAGAGTGGTAGAGATTGCTTTTGAGGCGGCTCAAAAATAGACTCCTTGTGCACTACGATGTATCAGGAGATGTTACACTGTTTCCCGGCTGCGAAGAGTGGTAGAGATTGCTTTTTAAAGTGGTCGTCTCAGGTGTGATCTTGCGCTGCGAATCTAGCTTCACACTAAAGCGTGGTGTGGCGTGCATGCACATCCCCAGGTGGGGTGTGCCACGGGCTCTTTCTTCTGTTCTACTGGCACACATTTCGTATCCGTGCTTGTTACTTCCACCCATTTATGCATGCGTGCAGGTGGTGGAGTGTGCCATGGGGTGTTCCTTCTGTGCCACGGGCACCATGTCTCATTCTCGCTCTGTGCATGCATGCACACGTTCATGACCGCAGGTGGGGTGTGCCATGGGGTGTTCCTTCTGTGCCACGGGCACCATGTCTCGCCCCACCAGCCTCACAGCAGGGGAGATCCTCGAGCAGCTGCTGCTGGCCTCGCAAAGAGCTCCAATCCGCAACGTTGTCTTCATGGTATGCCATTCATCTGAGGTCGTGTCTGTGTGCTTCTGGGCTGGCTCACAAAGGTCAGGCTCGCAGCAGGGGAGATCCTCGAGCAGCTGCTGCTGGCCTCTCAGAGAGCTCCCTTCCGAAATGTGGTGCTCATGGTACGTCGAATCATGCATGACTCGACCCTATCAGCCGTGACCCAGCAGCCCACCAGCCATGACCCAGCAGCCGTGATCCACTAGCCTTGACCCACCAGCCTTGAACCACCAGCCTCACAGCAGGGTAGATCCTCGAGCAGCTGCTGCTGGCCTCTCAGAGAGCTCCACTTCGCAAGGTTGTCTTCATGGCATTCCATTGATATGAGGTTACCAGTGTGTGCGTGCTTCTGGGCCAAGTCACAAAGGTCGGTCTCGCAGCAGGGGAGGTAGCCAAGCAGCTGCTGCTGGCATTGCAGAGCGCTCCCATCCATCCGCAATGTCGTCTTCATGGTTCATGTGCGTGTGTTAGATCCACCAAACCTGTTACAATGGAGTCGTTTTTTAGAATCCTAAAGAATGACTCTTAATGCCGTCTTCGTCTTCAAGGTGCGTTCATGCGTGTGTGTTCACCAACCCTGTTGTTGTGTTGTGTCAACTAAAGACACTCGCCTTATGTCCCACCAAACTCCCATTCTTCCTGTTCTCCTCCAGGGAATGGGCGAGCCTTTCAACAACCATGGCGTGGTGAAAGCAGCAGTGGAATCGATGGTTCCCCCCGACGCCTTCCACGTGTATACTCTCCTGCGTTGTGATCCTCCCTTGCTTCTCCGGACGACCCTGTGTCCCCCCGTTTTTGCAGGGAATGGGCGAGCCCTTCAACAACCATGGCGTGGTGAAAGCAGCAGTGGAATCGATGGTTCCCCCCGACGCCTTCCACGTGTATACTCTCCTGCGTTGTGATCCTCCCTTGCTTCTCCGGACGACCCTGTGTCCCCCGTTTTTGCAGGGAATGGGCGAGCCCTTCAACAACCATGCTGCGGTGAAAGCAGCAGTTGAATTGATGGTTGCTCCCTATGGCTTTCACTTGTCCCCCAACCATATAACAGTCTCCACAGTATGTTCCCAACCTAAGCCTATCACAGCTCACCCAATCATAAAACAGTCTCCGTAAATCTCTTTCCCGATCCCATCTTCGACTTCGTTGTTCCGTGTTTTCGTCGCTTCCCTTACTCCTTCCAAAGCCCCCTTTCCTTCATGTAACGTTTCATCGCAATCGTTGCCCTTCACACACTCCTTGCCTCCAACCATCAGGTGGGCGTGGTTCCTCGCATCCGCTCCTTCGCGTCTGCCTTCCCCTCGGTCAATCTCGCTCTCTCGTTGCACGCCCCCTCGCAAGCCCTCCGGATCTCCATTGTTCCATCGGCTCGGGCCTATCCATTGGAAAAGGTCATGCAAGCTATTGACGAATACCAAAGGGACAGGTACTGTGAAAAAATACAACTTAGCAATACGTACTGATGTGGAATCACACATTGGCATAGTGGGGGTTGCCCATTTGAACAAGTCGGTTTTTTCTTTCTTTCTTTCTTTTTACTTTTCTTTTTTTCTCCCTGTTTTATTTTGACTTCATTCCTGGTTCTTGTATTTTGTGTGTGCAGTGGCCGGCGAGTCTTTATCGAGTACATCTTGCTAGGAGGGGTCAATGATGGCATCAACATTGCACACGAGCTTGGGACATTGCTACAATCACGCGATGTGGTAAATGTTTTGCATCGTCAATTTTCTCTTTTTCCCCTTGCCGTGTCTACATTCATCGACTATACTCACTTTTGCCATCATTTCAATTTGTTCAATCATCGTATTGTGCTTGATAATCTTTGTTATCTTGTTCGCTCTCCGTTTTTCCCCCCCCGCTTGTAATCATGTGTCGACTGTGTTTGCCTGTTCTTTCAGGTGGTTAATCTCATTCCATACAATCACACGGACGTAGTAGCTCAGTATCGCCCTTCCACCCCTGAGGCTGCAGAAGGCTTTCAGAAGGTGTTACGGGGAAGTTACGGGCTGCGCACCACTATCAGGCGCGAGAAAGGGAATGATATTGCAGGAGCTTGTGGTCAACTGGCAGTTAAAGCTGGAACGGGTGGGGACTCTCGGGTTTTAAGTGAGGGGATTAAAGAGGGGGTTGATGCTCTTATGGGTGTTGAAGGGGATTCCCTCAGCAATGGCAAAACATGTGGTAGTAGGGGAGGCGTTAGGGCGGAGAAAAAGGCTTGCGGAGGCGCAAATGGTACCTTGCTAGATATTGAAGACATTGGTTGATTTCGATTCAAAAGTGTATTGAATCTTGAAATATCCATCACATCCTAGAAGTTGGATTGGATCATATAGAGGTTGAGGGAAAAAAACGTATCTGAGCGTATAATAGGAGTGATGCGGTACTACTCCGCAACTTCGCTCCGCAGCTTTTACCGGGTACAGAAACTCCTGGTTGGTGCTTGCACCTGGCCAGGAACCTAGATCATGCTCTCGTGTCCACAGAAACCTTTTCGGTTGTACGGCGTGAGTGGCGTAGCATTTCCGGCCAATAGCGGCCGGGCGTTGCTTTGCGGGGAAGTGCTACTGTACCTTGCTTTGCGGAGCGGTTGCTGGTGGAAAGTGCTACGTCGTGGGGAATTCCTAGGTTGCTACGTGCTACGGCGCGTCAGTAGCGAACTCCGAACAGTCTTCTTGTAGGTCCTTGAGAATTGTATCATACAAAATACGAGTTCGGCGGATAACTCTAAAAAGCGTACTCCTCTCCGCCGTTCGCTCAGCAAAGTTGCCCTGTTTGACTACCAGAAGATTTTGCCTCCAACGATAAACTTCCGTCGCAGCCGGCTGTCGCTGCATTCGCCATGGCGTCGCACGTCGCATGCCGTCCGTTTTCTGCGAATATAGCACTGAGCGAAGGTCGCACGGTCGCAACCTGTCGCCAGGAAAATCGCCCGCCAACCCTGTCGCCAGCTCCGACGTGGACCCCATTGCGCGATTCTCACGTGCGAAAAGCACGAGCGACAACTGGTCGCTGTGCGACAAGCCAGCGACGCAGAGTCGTCGTTGCGACGGCCTTCGGGTCGCCGTGGCCGACATCGGCCGCATCTTCCGCCGGAAAGCCCGCTGATTCGCAAGCGCCCGGTACCGTCGCGAGACTCCCCGTTGCTGCGAAGAGCGCGAGCGGCGCAACAGGCGAACCAGCGGGAGGAGCAGCAACAGGAGGAGCAGGAGGAGGAGGAGGAGGGGCGGCAACGGAAACAGCAGGAGCAGCAGGAGCAGTGCCGGAAAGTCCGCCGTACAAGCCGGGTCTGCTCGGTCCGCTCTTTCTCGCCATGTTCAGGCGGCAGTTGGTGGAGGTGAGAACTGGTGGGGGTGAGAGGTGGTGGATGTGAGACGTGGCGGGGGTGAGAAGCGGTGGGGGTGAGAACTGGTGGGGGTGAGAAGTGGTGGGGTTGGTGGGGGTGAGAAGTGGTGGGGTGAGAATTGGTGGGGGTGAGAATTGGTGGGAGAGAGACTCTCATTCATCCCCTGCTCTCACTCTTTCTATCTCATGTCTCGGTTAGTCTCATTCGCTCTTCGTATTGTTTTGACGTGCCTAAGAACTAGGCGTCCCTGACATGTGTCTCATGTCTCGGTTAGTCTCATCTCATTCGCTCTCCGCACGCAGGCAGTGGGGTGGAGCTCGCCCAAGGAAGGATACGCGGGGATGATAGAGGAGGCGAGGCGACTGCTGCTCATGCACTCCGATCGTAAAAAGAGCGAGGAGGCGGCGGTGAGTTGGGCTCTTTAACCAGTAAGTGAGTTGTTGCACGTAGGTGGGATCCCAGGGATCGTCACGTCACTCATTGGAGGCATGTTATCTTTCTCTTTTTTTTTCTTTTTTTTTTGAGGCGCCTCAAAAATGACAATCCCTGGGATCTCACTTCCCTGTGAATCTTTGATAAACGCACTTCGAGCTGCAGGACGACACCGTGAGGACAGCCTCGTCAAATGTGCCGCAGATATATGAGACTCAGATATATGACTCCGATTATATCTGTTTTCTCACCTCCTTTCTCTTGCCAGGTCACTCTTCTGCGAACCATGCTCCCGCCCGTCCTCCTCCCTGCCTTCGTTAGACTCGTCCTTTTGTCAATGCAAGGAGAGTAAGCCTCTTCCTCTCTTCACTTTCCCCCATTCCCTTCCCCTGCCTCTCGTCAGGTCACCATTTTCCGGAGATTTCTCCCGCCCTTCCCCCTCCCTCTCTCTCACTCTCCCTTTCCCCCCCAGCCTTCCTCCTACCTTTCCCATCAGGTCATCATCCTTTCCTCCTCCCTCTCTCACTCACTCTCCCTAGTTCTCCCTCCCCTCTCTCCCCCCTCCCTTTCTCCTCCTACCTTTCACACCAGGTCATCATCCTGCGGAAACTGTTTCCGCCCTTCCTCTTGCCTCTTTTCAAGAAGTACTTCGCTCCTCTGTGGAATGGCCGCATCGCCGCTGTTCTCTGCGGTACGTAGATAGGGGAACTTGCCGCGACATGCTAACGTGTGAACTTGCGGCGACATGCTAATGTGTGAACTTGCCGCGACATGCTAATGTGTGCGAACTTGCGGCGACATGCTAATGTGCGAACTTGCGGTAACAAGCTAGCATGCAAACCATGCTCCCGCCGTTTCTTCCTGCCTCTTTTCGAAAAGTACTTCGCTCCTCTGTGGATTGGCCGCATTGCCGCTGTTCTCTGCGGTAAGCCGATTGGAGCGTGTTGACATGCACCCAACCAGCCACGCATGCTCCCATCACATGCGGGAACATGCAGAGCGGGAGCGGTTGCTGGTTGTCGAGAATTGGTTTTTGAGAATTCTCAAAAACCAACTCACATCACATGCAGGCACAAGAGAGGGAGCAGTTGCTGCGCTGCTTGCTGCTGTGCTCTGTGGTGTGTTGGTTTCTGCGTTGCTTGCTTGCTCCTCAGATGTCCTGTTCCACTGCAGTGGAGTCATCTTTGAGAATTCTAAAAAATGAAGTGAACCTATGTGTCTGCTTTGCTCTGTATGGTAAGCTATTTGGAGGTTATTTCTTTAGTCGACTAAAAAATCACCTTTTAATCGACTCTGTGTGGTAAGCTATTTGGGGGATCATAACTAGGTTGGTCAGTTACGTGCCTCTCATAACATGCGATAACACGGCACCTTTACTCCTTTACCCCTCCCTCCCTCCCTCCCTCCCTCCCTCCCTCCCTCCCTCCCTCCCTCCCTCCCTCCCTCCCTCCCTCCCTCCCTCCCTCCCTCCCTCCCTCCCTCCCTCCCTCCCTCCCTCCCTTCCTCACTCCCTCCCTCCCTTCCTCACTCCCTTCCTCCCTCCCTCCCTCCCTCCCTCCCTCCTCCCTCCCTCCCTCCCTCCCTCCCTCCCTCCCTCCCTCCCTCCCTCCCTCCCTCCCTCCCTCCCTCCCTCCCTCCCTCCCTCCCTCCCTCCCTCCCTTCCTCACTCCCTCCCTCCCTTCCTCACTCCCTTCCTCCCTCTCTCCTTCCCCCGTTCCCTCACTATCTCCCTCACTCCCTCCCTCACTCCCTCCCCCCCAGCGTGGGTGACGCACTTCACGTGCCAGTGGCTCATGGGGCCGACAAAAGTGGTGGAGATCGAGCTGGAAGATGGGTCCAAGCAGGGGTCTGGGGTGAGTTTGTTTGTGCACATGTGTAAAGGTGAACAAGGCATGGTTCATACATGGGGGCGGTGACAGACAGGCATGCCAGTGGCTCATGGGGCCGACAAAAGTGGTGGAGAGAGAGGTGGAAGACGTGTCCAAGCTGGGGTCTGGGGTGAGTTTGTTTGTGCACATGTGTAAAGGTGAACAAGGCATGGTTCATACATGGGGGCGGTGACAGACAGGCATGCCAGTGGCTCATGGGGCCGACAAAAGTGGTGGAGAGAGAGCTGGAAGACGTGTCCAAGCTGGGGTCTGGGGTGAGTGTTTATAGTCAGACCGCCAGGTGCGGTGGGTAGGTGTGGGGAAGGGGGGCATGTTGAACTTGGTGGTTCTGCCAGTGGCTGCTTTTGAGTCGACTCAAAAGCTGATGGTTCTGCCATTGGCTCATGGGGCCGACAAGGGTTGTGGAGATCGAGATGGAAGTATGGGTCCAAGCTGGGGTCTGGCTTGAGTGTGTATAGTCACAAAGAATGGGTGTATGGAGAAAGATGGGTGTGTGGTAGCGACATGGCAGGTCAGTGGCTTGTGTGTTCTGCAGCAGGGGTGGCAGTAGCGAGCAACCCCCCTTCTCCTGTTTTCTTGCATCCCTCCCTGTCAGCCTCATCCCCCCTTTCCTTCTCATCCCTCCTCTGCGCTTCTGCATTTCTTCCTCCCATGGCCAGGTGACGGTTGAGAAGTGCAAGTTTCTGGACATCCCGTGCCCCCCCCCCCCCTCCCCCCCCCCGTCTCATCCCGCCGTCCCTTTTTGTCTCATTCCCTCTCTTTTGAGCTGACCCTTCCCCTCTCCTTCTTTCCTCCCCCCACCACCAGGTGAAGATTGAAAAGTGCAAGTTTCTGGATGAGACGAGCTGCGCGGGAAGCTGCATCCACACGTGCAAGATGCCCACACAGGCGTTTCTGTTTGGGGACATGGGAGTGCCGCTTCTTATGGAGCCCAACTTTGAGGACTTCAGCTGCGAGGTGAGTCAACCAGTTGTCTGGTTAAGCTCGGAGTGTAGCTTTATAGCAGCTACACAAGGGGTATCGCTGCGAGGGAACGCTGGTAGCGCTGGTAACAATCTTTGAGGCCCCTCAAGAATAGTCTCAGTTCACGTGCAAGATGCCCATGCAGGCGTGTCTGTGTGGAGACATGGGATGGGAGTGCCACTCCTTATGGAGCCCAACTTTTAGGGCTTCCGCTGCGAGGTATCGTGGGTTACTCTGCTAACTCCGGTAACAATCTTTGAGGCCCCTCACGAATATTCTCAGTTCTCATGCAAGATGCCCACACAGGCGTTTTTGTTTGGGGACATGGGAGTGTCACTTCTTATGGAGTGTAGCTTTATTGCAGCTACACAAGGGAGCAGCCTTCTTATGGAGCCCAGTTTTGAAGATTTCAGCTGTGAGGTAACTTGGGTTAGCTCTGGTAACTCTCGTCTTCTTATTTGGGCGTTTCTGTTTGTACCTGGCCCAAGCGTACCACGTCTCATGGAGACCAACTTTGGGAACTTCAGGTGAGAGGTAACTCTGATAGCTTTGGTAACTTTGTAGCCGAGTGTACCAAGTTATTCTTGGTTAACCAGTTTCCTGGTTATTCTTGCCTCTCTTTCCAGTCCCCCACTCCCATCCCCCCCTCCCATCCCCCCCCCACCCCTCCCTCCCATCCACCCCCCCACCCCCCCTTCCTGTCGAAGAGAACACCACTTGGTGGTGGTTTAAACCATACGTGGCAGTTAAAGTTCGGAGTGCCTTTTGAGTCGACTCAAAAGTCTCCCCCCCTCCCATCCCCCCCCCCACCCCCCCTTCCTGTCTCGCCAGTTCAAGTTCGGAGTGCACGCCCCCCCTCGAGACAGCGACCCTGTGCTTCTCACCCCATGCCTTGCCATCTGCCCTGCTCGCTCCTCCTCCCCCTCACCTCCCCGCTCCTCCTCCTCCCGCTCCTCATCCCCACAAGCCGAACCTACGCCTCCGTTGTGCCCCCAGGTATGTTATTGAGTCGTCGAGTCAAATTCAAACTCATCTGCCCCGTCCTCCTCCTCTCCCTCCTCCTCCTCCTCCAACTCCTCCTCCTCCTCCTCCTCCTCCTCCTCCTCCTCCTCCTCCTCCTCCTCCTCCCCCCACAAGCAGAACCCCACCTCCAGTTGTGCCCCCAGGTTGTTTGTCATTTAAAGCCTGCACGGACTTTCTCACCTACACCTGGTTCGTCTTGCGTGTGCTCTCTCCTCTCGTTCCTTGTCTGCTCTCCCTGTCGCCTCCCCACATCCTCATGACCCATGCCTGTGTCAGCTCCTTGTGAAAAATCGTCGATGATGAATGCTATCTTGCCTTGCAACTGTTCCACAAAAATGAATCCCCTGATTCCACCATTCATTGGTCCTCGTTTGTTTGTCTGTTTTGACTTCTCATGGCAGGTTCAAGTATAGGTAGATGCTGCATTGATGTTTTCTTTTACGTGAAACTGGCACAAGCCCTTACGTTCCCATAAGGGCTTGTATCCCCACCCTCCCCCTAACCCCCACACTCCATCTTTCCCTTGAAAATGTGTTGTACGAATGGGGGAGGTTATAGAAACTAGTACACAATTACCGTTGTTGGAAATACCTTGAAGACTTGAGTGTTTCTGAAGTGTAACACTACACTCGAAGAAATGTCGTATCAAGTACACGAGTCAACGTAGGTTACACGAGGAGGTTGGATGAAAGAACACGAAAGGACGAAGGTGTCAAACATGTGTAGTCGTTATGTTTGTATAGACTGTATACGGTCACCTCTTAGAGGGTACAATTCTGAGGTATATCTTTCTGTACTCTCTCACTAGTCAATTATTCACTTCTCATTTTTGATATGGTATCACGCGTAGGTAGGATCCCCCCCACCTCCCGCTTCCGCTCAACGCTCTAGCCCCTAGCCCCGTCGCGACCCCCCCTAGCCCCGTCGCGCCCCATCCTGGGCCCTGTACCGCCCCTCCTGGGCCCCGTCGCACCCCTCACTGGGCCCTGTCGCGCCCCTCCCAGGCCCCGTCGCGCCCCTCCTAGGCCCTGTAGCGCCCCTCCTGGGCCTCGTCGCGTCGCTCCTGGGCTCCGTAGCGCCCCTCCTGGGCCCCGTCGCGCCCCTCCTGGGCCCTGTAGCGCCCCTCCTGGGCCCCGTCGCGCCCCTCCCAGGCCCCGTCGCGCCCCTCCTGGGCTCCGTAGCGCCCCTCCTGGGCCCCGTTACGCCCCTCCTGGGCCCCGTAGCGCCCCTCCTGGGCCCCGTCGCGCCCTCCCTGGGCCCTGTAGCGCCCCTCCTTGGCCCCGTCGCGCCCCTCCCAGGCCTCGTCGCGCCCCTCCTAGGCCCCGTAGCGCCCCTCCTGGGCCTCGTAGCGCCCCTCCTGGGCCTCGTCGCGCCCCTCCTGGGCTTCGTAGCGCCCCTCCTGGGCCCCGTCACGCCCCTCCTGGGCCCCTGTAGCGCCCCTCCTGGGCCCCCCTGTCGTGCCCCTCCTGGGCCCCGTAGCGCCCCTCCTGGGCCGCGTCGAGCCCCCCCCCCCCTCCCTTCAGGGCCCCGTCTCGCCTTCAGGCCTCGTCGCGCTCGCCCGGCCCTGTCACCCCAGCCCGGCCCCGTCACACCAGCCCGGCCCCGTCGCACCAGCCCGGCCCCGTCCCGCCCGCCCGGCCCCGTTGCACCCGCCCGGCCCCGTCGCCCCCTGCCCGGCCTCGTCGCACCTGTCCGGCCCCGTCGCGCCCGCCCAGCCCCGGTGCCCCCCCTCCTGGGCCACCGTCCTGCTCGCCCGGCCCCGTCGCACCGGCCCGGCACCGTCGCACCAGCCCGGCCCCGTCGCACCTGCCCGGCCCCGTCGCACCGGCCTGGCCCCGTCGCGCCCGCCCGGCCCCGTCCCGCCCGCCCGGCCCCGTTGCACCGGCCCGGCCCCTGCGCTCGTCCCTGCCCCGACCCCGGTCCTCCTCACTGGTACGGTTCCCCCCCCCCCGCCCTGCACTGCCCTGCACCGTACTGCCCCGCACTGCACCGCCCCGCACCACCCTGTACTGCCTGGCACCGCACTGCACCGCCCTACACTGCACTGCACCGCACTGCATCGCACTATACCGCACGGCACCGCACTCCACCTTGCTGCACTGCCCTGCACAGCACTGCACTGTTCCTGATGGCGGCGGAGCTTCGCTTCGACGCTGAAGGCCAGCCTTTGGAGTTCGAGGCGTGGCTTGCCGACCTCCGTCGCCAACTCACTGGCCAGCGGCAGGATGGTGAGCCGCTGTCCGCACACCTTGACGGTACGCTCCCCTGCCCAGACCCCCCTGCTATTTTGCCCGCTGACTCCACCCCCACTGAGCGCGAGTCTACTGCTGCCACTGCCCGTGCGCGCTCTGTCTGGCTTTCTCGCGATGCTGTCGCCCAGCTTGCCATTACCAACGCCCTTCCCCCGTCCGAGCGCCCTCGCTTTAGGTCCCTCACCACTGCTCAGGCATACTTAGATGCTGTTATCAAGCGCTATTCCACCCCTCCGGCTGCCTCGGTGGGTCGCTTGATCCTCCCGCTGCTCTTTCGTGACCTTGCATCTTTCCCCACTGTCTCTGACCTCGCTGCCCACCTGCGCTCGATAGATGAGACCTGGCGCGCTGCTTGCATTGATGCACAGCTTAGAGCCCACCAACCGCCCATTACCTCTACCCTTTACCTGCTTGCCACCCGCCTCCCTGACCGCCTTGCTGTCGCCCGCGACCGCTTCCTTAGCGTTCACCCCGCAGACCTCACCCTCACTGACTTTGTAGACACCCTGACTATGATAGAGACCCGTCACCGCTCCATCGCCCAGGCGAGCGGTGCCGTGCCGGTCCCTATCTTTCAGGGTTGTGCCCCCGCTCAGTGTACCTTCTCCGACGGCTCTGCCGCAGTGGCTGAGACTGCTGCTGCAGCGCAGTTTCGTTCGGGGAAGGGCCGCCGCCCCAAGGTTGGGCGCGGCGGCGGCGGCGGGGGTGCGGGAGGGGGTAGTGGTGGGGTCGGGTCGTCTGGTGCTGGAGCGGACGAGGGGGCCCTGCCCACTCCAGCTGAGCCACCGCCCCTGCAGTTGCAGCAGCCGCCGCAGTCGCAGCCTTCGCAGCAGCCGCACCAGCCGTCGCAGACGCGGCAGACGAGTGTCCTCCCGCCCGGGTGGCCCGGCGCTGGCGGTGGCCGGGCGCGTGGTGGTGTGCCGAGTGGTGGCTCTGGTGGCGGGCGTTGTCAGTACCAGATCCAGACCGGTCCTCGCCGTGGCTTCGTTTGCGGTAAGATCGATCACTCTACTCCCCGCTGTTTTCATCGCCTGGACGACCTCTTTCGTCAGCGCTTCGGCCCGTCGCCAGACCTCCCGGACTGGCACAGTTTGCTTAGACGTTGTATTCCGATTTTTGACTTGGACATGGATGCCATTGTTTCAGCTCTGCATGTGATGTATGCTGATAACTCTAGTGTGCTTCCCGCTTATTACTCACTGTTGCCTTGTGTAGGTGTGCCTAGCTTAGCCTCCCCTGCTGCGTCAGGCGTAGGATCCCCTGCTTTGTGTAGTCTTGGTGCTTCCGCCGTCGTTCCGTTGCCAGACGCCTCTGCTTCGCTTTCCTTCACCTTGGACTCTGGCGCTTCTCGGTGTTTCTTCCGCGACTCCACCACCCTGACGCCGCTTCCTGTCCCAGCTGCTGTCTCTCTTGCTGACCCCTCCGGCGGTCCAGTCGTCGCCCGCAGTTCCACCACCCTTCCCTGTCCGGCGGTTCCTTCGGGCTCTCTCACAGGTCTGCATATCCGCTCGTTCTCCAGAAACCTAGTTGGTGTCGGCTGCCTCCAGGACCTTGGCGTCACCACTACGTTCCCTGGTCACGAGCGGTATGCTGTCTGTACCGAGGCCGCCACTGGTGCCCCCCTGTCCACGTTCCCCCGGGACCCGGTGTTCGGCCTGTTCACTCTGGACACCGTGACCCCCCCGGCTGGGGCGCCTCCTCAGGTGGCTGCGTCTACCCAGGTTGTTGCTGCCTGCTCCTGTCGGTCCCTCACTCACCCGACTCTCCTTTGGCACCACTGCCTAGGTCACCCTGCGCTCCCGCGTCTGCCTCACATGTCCCAGCACGGTCTTGTCCTTGGTCTCCTAGGTTCCCTCCCCGCGTTTCCCTCTTCCCCAGCCCCACCTTGCACGCCTTGTGTTGAGGGTCGGCTTCGCCGTGCCCCGCACTCCTCCTCGTTTCCCCCTACCGCCGCGCCGCTGCAGACCCTGCACCTGGACGTCTGGGGCCCCGCCCCCGTCCCTGGGCTGCGTCGAGAGCGCTACTTCCTTGTGCTTGTTGACGACTTCACTCGTTACACCATAGTCTTTCCCCTGGAGCGCAAGGCCGACGTGCCTGGCGCTCTCATCCCCTGGCTTGTCTCTGCGCGTGTCCACCGCGGTCTCCCTGTCTTGCGTCTTCACTCCGACCGTGGTGGCGAGTTTGCCTCTAGAGTCCTTGGTCGCTTTTGTCGTGCGGAAAGCATCACCCAGACGTTCACCCTACCGGACTCCCCACAGCAGAATGGGGTCGCTGAGCGACGCATCGGTTTGGTCATGGAGGTGGCTCGCACCTCCATGATCCATGCCGGTGCACCCCATTTTCTGTGGCCGTTCGCCGTGCGCTACGCTTCTCACCAGCTTAACTTGTGGCCGCACCCTCAGCAGCCGCAGGTTTCGCCGACTCGTCTTTGGACTGGGTCTCCTGGTGACGCGTCTGCGTTCCACGTCTGGGGCTGCCTTGCTCACGTCCGTGCCTCCAGCACGGACAAGCTCACTGCCCGCACCCTTCCCTGCGTCTTCCTCGGTTTTCCCCTTGACGCGTCCGACTGGCACTTTTACCACCCGCCGTCTCACCGCTTCTTTCACTCTCGTGCCGTCACCTTTGACGAGTCCGTCTCCTACTACCGTCGCTTCCCCCACCGTGGTCCCCCGGTTACCCCCCCCCTGTTCTTGGTCACTCCTTCCCCGGTAGTCCCTGCCCCTCCTCCTCCTCCTCCCCGTCCCGCCCCCTCTGGTGTGTCCCACGTCACCCCCCTTCCGTCGGTGGACCCGGTTGAGGAGTCTTCTGACTCTGGTGGCCCTCCTGTGCAGTCCTCGTCAGCCGCCCCTCCCCTGGTGTCCCCTCCCCAGTCCCCTCCTCCACCGCTTCTGCCGCCGCTGCAGCCGTCGTTGCCGCCGCCGCCGCCGCCGCCGCCGCTGCCGTCGCAGCACCCGTTTGCTAACTCTGGGGGTGCTCGTCCCGGTAGCACTGGGGGTGGTCCCTCTGGGGGTGCTGGTGTGGAGAGTGTCGGGGGTAGCCGAGGAGCAGCTAGCGGTCCCGGTGTCGCCGTTGTGCCGCCGCAGCAGCAGTCCCCGCCGGTGTCAGCCCTTCGCCTGCTCGGCCTTCCGTCCCCCGACCCTGCGTCGGTTCCTCCCCGGCCGTCTCCTCCTCTTCTTGTCTACGGCCCTGTCTTCCCTCCGCCGGACTCGTCCCCGGCCCGTCTCCCCCCTCGTTCCCCTCCTGTGTCCCCTCCTCTGTCTCCTGACCCGACTCCTCCATTGCACGTCTGGTCTCACCGTCCCTCCCGTGCTCGTCCTGCCTCGCCTGTCTTGCGCTCCCACCCTATGTTGCTTCGTTCCCATGCGTCTCGTCCTCCCCTTCTGCCGTCGCCTCCTCCGTCCTCCCTTGTTGTTGCACCCCCCCCGCTGTCTGA